ATTTTTTGAGCTCTTGGGTTACAGAGTCCTTTTAAAATAGGTAATCTTTTTTGTTACTTCCTATCTTAGCTTTTACACAAACTATTAAAGTATATACATGTTTCAAGCATATTTGTTTAAGGTATTTATTATTATAAATTTACAGTGCGTTTAGTTTCTTTGAAGTAGTTAAACTTCAAGTGTGTATGCTTCAAGTGTATATGCTTCAATAACTTCAAGTGCTTCAAACATTTTTATAAAATGTTCTTTTACATTAGCTATTACTATTTTTATAGAATTTGTTTTTGGTGCTTCAAGCAATGATGGCATAACCAGTAATGCGGTAGACGGATTCAGAACATTAAGCAATAAAACTCAAGACTTTAACAATCATAACAATAATGTACAAGGACAAGATAATCACAAGCTTCTCGAAAACGCTGATCAATACCAAAAGTCATATTTGGAAAATAAAAAACATTTTGAAGAACTTCAACAGTTTACTGGAGAAGAAGGTGAAAATCATGTTCTACAGGTAATTATGCCATTAAACATATTTTCATTAGTGAAATCTCATCACTAAACCTTTTTACTTATTTTCTGAACATTTAAACATGATAGTGTACATCACCAAAATTTGTTTGTTGTCTGATATTGTTGGTTTATGTGAAAAGTCTTTTTTTTTTTTTTTTAAACAACCTTGTTATAAATCTGTTCATTGAAATATGTCATATATCCAAATGTGTTTGAAACAAAACTTTTTTTTCTACATAACCTTGTTATAAAGCTATTCATTGTCATGTGTTCATTTTTTTTTTACATAATTTTGTTATAAATCTAATCTATTTATTGTCATATGTGTTCATTCCTCCTAATGTTTTTGAAACGAACTTTTTTCTAAATCAAATTAAAAAAGTATCTGTTATTTAAACTAGTATGTATAGGTTTTTATTTTTAGGTTTTATTCTTTGGTTTTATTCTTTGGTTTTATTCTTAGGTTTTATTCTTAGGTTTTATTCTTAGGTTTTATTCTTAGGTTTTATTCTTAGGTTTTATTCTTAGGTTTTATTCTTAGGTTTTATTCTTTGGTTTTATTCTTTGGTTTTATTCTTAGGTTTTATTCTTTGGTTTTATTCTTTGGTTTTATTCTTAGGTTTTATTCTTTGGTTTTATTCTTTGGTTTTATTCTTAGGTTTTATTCTTTGGTTTTATTCTTTGGTTTTATTCTTAGGTTTTATTCTTAGGTTTTATTCTTAGGTTTTATTCTTAGGTTTTATTCTTAGGTTTTATTCTTAGGTTTTATTCTTAGGTTTTATTCTTTGGTTTTATTCTTTGGTTTTATTCTTAGGTTTTATTCTTTGGTTTTATTCTTTGGTTTTATTCTTAGGTTTTATTCTTAGGTTTTATTCTTTGGTTTTATTCTTTGGTTTTATTCTTAGGTTTTATTCTTTGGTTTTATTCTTTGGTTTTATTCTTAGGTTTTATTCTTAGGTTTTATTCTTAGGTTTTATTCTTAGGTTTTATTCTTAGTTTTTGTTCTTAGGTTTTATTCTTAGGTTTTATTCTTAGGTTTTATTCTTAGGTTTTATTCTTAGGTTTTATTCTTAGGTTTTATTCTTAGGTTTTATTCTTTGGTTTTATTCTTTGGTTTTATTCTTAGGTTTTATTCTTAGGTTTTATTCTTAGGTTTTATTCTTAGGTTTTATTCTTAGGTTTTATTCTTAGGTTTTATTCTTAGGTTTTATTCTTAGGTTTTATTCTTAGGTTTTATTCTTAGTTTTTGTTCTTAGGTTTTATTCTTAGGTTTTATTCTTAGGTTTTATTCTTAGGTTTTATTCTTTGGTTTTATTCTTTGGTTTTATTCTTTGGTTTTTATTCTTAGGTTTTATTCTTAGGTTTTATTCTTAGGTTTTATTCTTAGGTTTTATTCTTAGGTTTTATTCTTAGGTTTTATTCTTTGGTTTTATTCTTTGGTTTTTATTCTTAGGTTTTATTCTTAGGTTTTATTCTTAGGTTTTATTCTTTGGTTTTTATTCTTAGGTTTTATTCTTAGGTTTTATTCTTAGGTTTTTATTCTTAGGTTTTATTCTTTGGTTTTATTCTTAGTTTTTGTTCTTTGGTTTTATTCTTAGGTTTTATTCTTTGGTTTTATTCTTTGGTTTTATTCTTAGGTTTTATTCTTTGGTTTTATTCTTTGGTTTTTATTCTTAGGTTTTATTCTTAGGTTTTATTCTTAGGTTTTATTCTTAGGTTTTATTCTTAGGTTTTATTCTTAGGTTTTATTCTTAGTTTTTGTTCTTAGGTTTTATTCTTTGGTTTTATTCTTAGGTTTTATTCTTAGGTTTTATTCTTAGTTTTTGTTCTTTGGTTTTATTCTTAGGTTTTATTCTTTGGTTTTATTCTTAGGTTTTATTCTTAGGTTTTATTCTTAGTTTTTGTTCTTTGGTTTTATTCTTAGGTTTTATTCTTAGGTTTTATTCTTTGGTTTTATTCTTTGGTTTTTATTCTTAGGTTTTATTCTTAGGTTTTATTCTTAGGTTTTATTCTTTGGTTTTTATTCTTAGGTTTTATTCTTAGGTTTTATTCTTAGGTTTTTATTCTTAGGTTTTATTCTTTGGTTTTATTCTTAGTTTTTGTTCTTTGGTTTTATTCTTAGGTTTTATTCTTTGGTTTTATTCTTAGGTTTTTTTCTTAGTTTTTGTTCTTTGGTTTTATTCTTAGGTTTTTATTCTTTGGTTTTTATTCTTTGGTTTTATTCTTAGGTTTTATTCTTAGGTTTTATTCTTAGTTTTTGTTCTTAGGTTTTATTCTTTGGTTTTATTCTTAGGTTTTATTCTTAGGTTTTATTCTTAGTTTTTGTTCTTTGGTTTTATTCTTAGGTTTTATTCTTAGGTTTTATTCTTAGGTTTTATTCTTTGGTTTTATTCTTTGGTTTTTATTCTTAGGTTTTATTCTTAGGTTTTATTCTTAGGTTTTATTCTTTGGTTTTTATTCTTAGGTTTTATTCTTAGGTTTTATTCTTAGGTTTTTATTCTTAGGTTTTATTCTTTGGTTTTATTCTTTGGTTTTTATTCTTAGGTTTTATTCTTAGGTTTTATTCTTAGGTTTTATTCTTAGGTTTTATTCTTAGGTTTTATTCTTAGGTTTTATTCTTAGTTTTTGTTCTTAGGTTTTATTCTTTGGTTTTATTCTTAGGTTTTATTCTTAGGTTTTATTCTTAGTTTTTGTTCTTTGGTTTTATTCTTAGGTTTTATTCTTAGGTTTTATTCTTAGGTTTTATTCTTTGGTTTTATTCTTTGGTTTTTATTCTTAGGTTTTATTCTTAGGTTTTATTCTTAGGTTTTATTCTTTGGTTTTTATTCTTAGGTTTTATTCTTAGGTTTTATTCTTAGGTTTTTATTCTTAGGTTTTATTCTTAGGTTTTATTCTTTGGTTTTATTCTTTGGTTTTATTCTTTGGTTTTATTCTTAGGTTTTATTCTTTGGTTTTATTCTTTGGTTTTATTCTTAGGTTTTATTCTTAGGTTTTATTCTTAGGTTTTATTCTTTGGTTTTATTCTTAGGTTTTATTCTTTGGTTTTTATTCTTAGGTTTTATTCTTAGGTTTTATTCTTAGGTTTTTATTCTTAGGTTTTATTCTTTGGTTTTATTCTTAGGTTTTATTCTTAGGTTTTATTCTTAGGTTTTTATTCTTAGGTTTTATTCTTTGGTTTTATTCTTAGTTTTTGTTCTTTGGTTTTATTCTTAGGTTTTATTCTTTGGTTTTATTCTTTGGTTTTATTCTTAGGTTTTTTTCTTAGTTTTTGTTCTTTGGTTTTATTCTTAGGTTTTATGCAAGTTGCATGAATTCAATAGTAAAACAAAAACATGGCAAGAAAAAGGAAGAGGAACATTAAGACTAAATGATATTACACAGTCAGATGGGTTGTTTCAGTCAAGGATAGGTACAGAAAGTTTTTAATATGTATTATTACTGTTGGTTCAAGTTAAATTATTTAATAAATTTAAATTATTAAATTAGTCAATTAATATTTAAAAATATTTTAAAATAAGTTGTAAAATTTTAAAGATTTTTACAAATAGTACAAGATAAAGATAATAGTATTGTAATCTTTATTGATTAACAATTGTATTGTTATTTTTATAGATTAACAATATTTTTTGATTTAATAGTATTGTTATATTTATGGATTAACAATAGTATTGTTTTCTTTATGGATTAACAATAATAATAAGGAGTAAGTAATTGTAACAATAGTTATTCCAATTGGAATATTAATAGCAATAATAACAATAATAATGAAAATGATAATAATGGTAATAACAATAATGATACTGATGATAATAACAATAATAATAATAATAATAATAATGATAATATTGATATCAGTACTATAACTAATACTTATTACAATAACAGTAATAATAGAAATAATAAAAGTACAGTAACAATAATAATTTAATAACCAAGTAATGAACCAAGTGATCAGAAGCCTTAGGAACAGTATCTTATTATCAAATATTCTTTAAGAAATAGTTACTAAAAAAACTTACTAATAGAGTCAATTGAATTGACTCAATTAACTTACTAATTGAGTCAATTTAATGCAGAGTTTTAAATTGATAAATCATGATAAATGTATTTGTTTAATTTTTTTGAAGATTTATTGTCATTAGCAAAATAGCAAAAAGTTGAAATTTTAATAATATATTAAAATCATTAATGAAAACAATGTTGATGGTTTTTCTTCCCTACCTCTTCTGTGTGTTTTTCTTGTATTTGATTTTCATATTTCTGTTTCCTGATCAAACAGAATACTTCTTAGTGTACATATTCAACTTAAAACTCTAAGAAATATTTTACTGCTCAATTTAAAGAAATATTTTACTGCTCAATCTAAAGTAATATTTTACTTCTCAATCTAGAGTAATATTTTACTGCTCAATCTAAAGTAGTATTTTACTAATGTTAATTAAATATAAGATATATTAAAACTTGCAATATATTAAACTTATAATATATTAAAACTTACTATATTTATTATAAAAAATATTTTTTTTGATTTTTTTAGTATTTCGAACCCAAGGTACAAATATTGTACTTTTAAACACCATGCTATGGCCTGAAATGTGCTGTGAAAAAGTTCGAGAAAAAAATGTGCGCATAAGTGGTATTACACCAGACTCTCAAGAAGTTAAACTCTTTTTATTAAATGTAAGTTAAAAAAAATTTTGTATATAATATATAAAAAAATTTTTTTTACATTTTATATTATATATAATAATCAACAAGAAACTATTCATATTTAATATATTAGTTTTATATTAATAAATAATGTTTTCAATAAAAAAAATTTCTCTCCTATCGTTTCCAAATTTTATTTGATTTTCATTAGATTAGTGTGCTATAGATTTATACCAACTTTTTATGTGATGGTTTGCTTTTATTAGGTTTGTAATATTTCCCATAACATTTTCAGGTAATATTTTCCAAGATTTTTTTATTTTTAGATGCCATTTATCTCAATCATAAGGTTTAAACCATCTTATGAAAAGCTAAAAACAGTAGCAGAAATTTCAATGCTAAAATGGCAACAAGTTTTTCAATAAATTAATAATAATAAAATTAATTTAAACTAAAATAATGTATAATATCTATAATTAGCAAAGATTTATTGAGTGGACACGGAAAAATCCAGTCAATCAAAATGCATTTTATTTCTTTAATTTTTTTTAATTAAACATAACTTCCTTATCTTTAATACAGTCATAGATATTACAAATGTCCCAAAATCTACAGTCATACATATTATAAATAAGTTTAAGACTAGTCAAAGCTTCAAGAGAAAACCTGGAAAGAAAATTCTCTATAAAACCAGTCGGTTCTCTTTTCAATAGCCAGAAATCCAAACCACAGCAAGATCTAGCAAGAAAATTCAAGACTTTATGTTCTTATATCAAAAAAGTACTAACAAATCCTGGAATCAAAGTATTTCATAAGAAAAATACATGTAAGAGAAGCTTAAATTGTGAAATTAACGGAATTTGATAAACAAAGAAGTTGGTTAAAATAATGGCAGATAAATGTGCATAATTAAAGACGACAAAACATATTGTAAGGCAGATTTTTCACAAATTTTGTGTCAACAATTTTACTATGAGAATAATCCTGTCGATGATCAATTTAAATATATTCTACAAGAAAAATTTGCATCCAAGTTCTTTGTATTTTCTTGCAGTTTGTAGCTATGGTATGCAGTCCTCTTGTTTTGTCACTAAGAAGACTTAAACTGTGGATCTCTAAATCAAATAATGCCTCCAAAAAAGACTTTTGTCATTTATGAAAAAACACAAATAATGATGTCTCTTTTAGCCAAAAAAGTTCTTCTGGGGTGCAAAATAATTATGTGAAAGTTGTTCCTTAAGATGCGCATTCTCAAAATTGTCCTGATGAGCACAAGATTGAAGATTTTTGGGCAATAGAAAAAAAAAGGAGTTCTTTGTAAGACAGGTGGAGTAACAAAAAATAAAAAGGACTTCCAAAAAAAGTGGATTAATGTCACCAATAACATGAAAAATAAAAAAAAATTGTAAAACAATGCATGAATCACTATAAAGTTCAATCTCATGCCAAACAGCCTATCAAACCCCTTAAAATTAAGTTGAAACCTATTTAATTTAAACATATTTAAAAAAAAAAAGAATTAAAGAGCCTTAATGGTTTTAGAGAAATCTCAATTTAAAGTTGAGCAGATTTTTCTGTGTTTACCCAATATGATTTTTATGAATTTTAAAAAAATTTTAATCATTTCTTAGTTTCACTTAAAACAAAATTTTACCAGATGTCAAAAATATGTTGTACAATCAAGTTGTTTAAGAGTTAGTTAAAAATCTTCTATATACAACCAAGTTGTTTAAGAGTTAGTTAAAAATCTTCTATATACAACCAAGTTGTTTAAGAGTTAAAAATCTTCTATATACAACCAAGTTGTTTAAGAGTTAGTTAAAAATCTTCTATATACAACCAAGTTGTTTAAGAGTTAGTTAAAAATCTTCTATATACAACCAAGTTGTTTAAGAGTTAAAAATCTATAGTTTGAGTCCTAAAACTCTGAGGGCATACCATTAAAATAGGCATATGGCTATATCGTAAAAAAGGGCATATGGCTTCATTAAAATAAGACTAGATTAACATTTAATATTTTAATAACATTTTTTATTCTGTGGTTTGCTGTGTTATTCTCAAATAGTTTTTTATGTTGATTGTAAAAATTTTTACTTTTGCTTTAAAAAAAAATTTTTACTTTAAAGTGTGGACCAAATGATTGTCAAAAAATATTCACATCAATTGAACGTCGTATTGTTGCTTTAAAGCGCAGAAAAGAACACCTCAGTATTGTAAAAAATGCATCTAATTTTGAAAATTCTGATAATGACATTGATAGTGATAGTTCTGGTAAGCAAAGCTGTACTGGCACAAATTCAATGTTATCATCTTCATCATCATCTTCAGCTAATTCAGGTTAGTTCTTTTATTAATAAAATATCTGTAAATGACCTTTAAAAATGGGAAATGTAAAAATGAGTCTATGAAAAATGTAAGTTAAGTTAATGAATAAAAAAAATAGGAATAAAACCTCTTCATAATGTTTTATTAAACACTATTATTGCAGGGACTGCATTTGAATACATTTCTAATAATACTCAGGATTTTCTTATCTTATATAGAATTGGATCCAATCAAATATGAGAAAAGCTTATATTTGAAAAGATCAAAAAGCATACAGGTCAAGCAAAAATTAACAACAGATCTGAATCTAGGAACCTTTTTTAAAAATCAAAAGGATAAACAAAAAAGGTCAAAATATTGATCTTAAAAAAAAAGTCCAAATTTTACTTTAATAAGTTTTCATTTGACAAAAAATAAGTTTAATCTAAAATGGGATAACGGTTAAAACAAATTTAAAGCATATTTATGGTTTTGTATTTAAAAAAAAGCTTTCCTTTAATCACCTAAAAACATATTTATGGTTTTGTATTAAAAAAAAAAAGCTTTTCTTTGGTCACCAAAAAATGCTTTATAAAAAATTATAAAAAGTAAAGTAGATATGGAAACATAGTATTAAATGTTTTATTTTATCTTTTGATGTTGAATATTCAAGGCACAAATATTCATTTTTAAAAATTGTGTCTGCGTTGATGTTATAAAGTTGTTTTTGTTTGCTTTCAAAAAAGTCTTAGTTTTACTTTAGAAATTAGAGTTTTTTGTAGATAGACAGGTTGCTTTGTTTATTATTTTAAAGTTCATGCACAAAATAATTTTAAAATTTATTAGTTAAAGCACATACTCTGTAAAAGTAAATGACATTGGTTTTTTCTTCTTCATATTATTGTAAGATTTGGTTGCCATAGGAATAACCATGGTTATTCTTGAAATAAAATGCACTTATAAAAACAAATGTAGCTTAAAATTGCGGAACAATTGTACTCTTAATAAAGATGGCCTAACAAAAACTTATCACCAGTATCATCAAATATAAAACCAAATGATGGTAACCAAAATAAAATCTTATATATTTTATGTTTTGAACAATAGAAAAATGACAAATAATATATTTTCACAGTTAAAAGTCAGAAAATGTTGAAGAACTTGTAATAAGCTGCAATAATACAATGATTCAAGTTTATAGATTTGTTGTTTCTTTTCTTTCTTTTTTTTTTTTTTTTTTGCATGAGAAATTTTTACTATTTTTTGATTTAGCCTTGAATTTTCACTAATTTTTGGTTTAGCGTTAGCAATTAAAATTTTCCATTTGCATGTATGTTGATTTCTACACTCTTGCACATTTGATAAGTATTTTCTACACTCCTGCACACTTCATAAGTATTTTCTGTGAAGCCTGTAATAGTGAATCTAAAAAACACCATTTTGGAGTCTTTAAATCAATTCCGCTCATCAGAGTTAACATGAAATTAGTTAAAATCTTTTTAAAGAGGTCCTTAGTTTACTATGGATCCTAGTTCTAATCGGTTCTGACATATATTAACTATATATAGTTGTCAAAATACAATATTTCTATCAATTTTTACTAAAAATACTAGAATTCCGACCAATAAGGAGCTATTAATTAAGAAAAAGCACCAATAAGCGATCAGAACAGATCATATTATTAAACTACGTTCATTTTACCTAAAAAACATATTTTTTTTAAATCTCATTCAAATTTGGACAAGCAATTGGGATTTTAAGAAGATTTTTTTGAAAACAAAAAAGAATCTGTGGTCTGGGTTTTTTTCGCAACAAAAATTTTTTATTTTATGATACCGCAAAATTAATCATTTTAATTTTTTTCATCTTTTTATAATTCGCAGACATGATTATTTAACGGAAATATCTAATAGTCAACAAAATATCATACAGATGCTATAATTATAGAGCTATTGTGTCTATCATAGAGATATTGTGCATATTATAGAGATATTCTTTGTATTATAGAGGTATTTTGTGTATTTTAGAGATATTCTTCGTATTATAGAAATATTGTGTGTATTATAGAGATATTGTGTGTATTAAAGAGATATTCTGTGTATTATAAAGATATTTTGCATATTATAGAGATATTCGGTGTATTATAGAGATGTTCTGTGTATTATGGAGATATTTTGTGTATTATAGAAATATTCTGGATATTATAGAGATATTCTGTGTATTATAAAAATATTCTGCATATTATAGAGATATTTTGTGTATTATAAAGATATTCAGTGTATTAGTGATATTCTGAGTATTAAAGAGATATTGTGTGTATTATAGAGATATTGTGTGTATTATAGAGATATTCTGTGTATTATAGAGATATTTGGTGTATTATAGTAATATTCTGTGTATTATAGAAATATGCATTCTCATATTTTGATTGCAATAATATTTTGAGGTTAAATTTACTCTTTTTTAAAACTTAATTTCAGCAATTAAGTAAAATATGCAAAAAATAAAAAATTCTTTTGTCGGAATATTCAGTCGAGATTTAGGCTTTTAAGCATTTTTTTCATTAACAAATTATAATAAGGTGCTTTGGTTTATAAAGTATGAATGCCAAATCGAGAGGTGGAACATCCTGATGGCAATGTAAGATTGAGAAAACATTGTATTTTTGCGTACTTAGTGAGCACAAGACATTTTTAAATTATTTAAAAAACGTATTAAAGTGTATTTAAACGTTTTAAAAATGTTCTGTGCTTACTGGACATGCTTCTAATAAAAATGTTAAGAACAAAAAAATAAGGTTTTAATCTTGATCTTTTTCGAATCAGAATAACAAGATCGAATCAGAAAGACAATCTGATTGTATTTTTGAATCAGGAAGATAGCAATCTGATTGTATTTTAGAATCAGGAAGATAGCAATCTGATTGTATTTTTGAAACAGGAAGATAGCAATCTGGTTGTATTTTCAAACTTTAAAAAGATGGAAGTTAAAAAAAAAACACAAAGTAAAGAAAATGCAGGTTATTTTATTAATAAAAAAAATATATCTTAATTTTTTTGAGATAACTGACCTGCACTGTTGTCCATAAAATCTGTTTCTAATGGTGAACTACATGATGGTCTATCAATCATTTTTGGAAACTTTTTTAGGATTGGAAAAAGATTTAAATATGCTTCTGATTTTGGTTTTATTATTAAAATGTAATAACCAATAACTTTTTTACCTGGCATTCTTCTGACAAGTTCTCAGCTTACATTTTGATTAAAATGTATTGGTTGATTGAGGTAATTTTTGCTGTTGCTAAACCTAGGATTTGTTTTATTGAAAACTGCTTTGTCTATTTGTCTACTGTTTTTATTTTACCCAACTATAAAAATGAGCGATAAAACTGATAAAAGCTTTTTTTTTGAATAGTTTCTTTGTAATCAAGTTGCTGGAAAACCCTTTTGAGGCGAATTCAAAATGCATTAAATTTTATATATATACATACTACTTTTATATACATAATACTTTTATAGTTAAATTTTATATATATACATACATACATACATACATACATACATACATACATACATACATACATACATGCATACATGCATACGTACATACATAAATATTCATAAATATTCATACAGATGTTGCAAATTAACTCAAACAAGATTATTTTACGTTTTTCTATTTTACAAAGTGATAGTGTAAACATGACTACTGATAAAGTTCATTTATGTCACTGTGTTTTATAAGAGTTTCAATAAGGAAGAAATGCTACAGACGCATGTAGGTATTTATTGAAAGTGTTTGATGAAGGTACTGCTTCAGATAGGACATATATATATATATATATATATATATATATATATATATATATTTTAATATCAAGGCTGCAAGCAACCACTAATTAGTGTTGGAAGTTACTGGAAGAGAAAAGATAAAGATCGTAGAGCAAGATAACGATTGACAGACGACTTAAAAGATTGCAAATTATATGAATGAGGAAAGCAAGATGAAGGAAGCGAATTCCAAAGAACTGATGTTCGAGGAAAAAAACTAGACAAATAAGAGTTTTTGGAGCACTTAGTAACAGTAACAGAAAAAGGATGAGACTTAATTGAATGACGAGTAACACGAGAATGAATTTTAGTAGATGGCACAAGAGACTTGGAACCATCTTATATATATATATATATATATATATATATATATATATATATATTATATATATATATATATATTTATATATATATAAGATGGTTCCAAACATATTAAACCGGTGATTTCTTTCTGGTCGGTCACACTCTGGGTGTCCATCTTTGATTGAAAACGACATTATTAAGGACATATTAAAACAAGATCCTTTTTTGACAACATCCATAATTGCAGAAACACTTAAACAGCTCAGCAAACTGTTTCAGTCCATATTTGAAAGATAGATTTAGCATGAAAATATTCAAGATGGGTGCCAAATGAATTAAGTCAGAGGAATTTGAATAATCTAATTGTCATATACACATCTCTACTTGCTCGGAACCGAACCATTCCTGAACAGGATGATTACTGGGGGTGGAAAGTGGATTTACACACATCTAAGTTATGAACCACATACATCTAAAGTGGATTACTTACAAAAATATCGTTAAAAAAAGGGCATATTGTTAACCCCGAAAACCTAGCCCTTCCACATCTAAACCACATTTGACTCTAAATACAAGAATGTTGTGTATATGGTGGGACATTCAAGTACCAATACATTATGAGCTTTTAAAACCAAATGAAAAGCCTAATTCAGAGAAGTATTGTCATATAATTTAGGTATTGGATAATTTAAAGACAAAAATCCAAGTAAAAAGGCTGGTGATGTTCAATAGGAAGGACATCATATGGCATTATGATAATGCCAGGCCTCATGCTGCTTTATGGACTAGTCAAAAAATTGCAGAACTAAGCTGGGAAATTATGTTGCATCTACCATATTTCCCGGACTTAGTGCCCTCCGACTATTGCTTGTTTTTTTCTTACAAAATTTCTTGAATAGC